TACGAGTTTCCCTTCTCCTTCAGAAATTATATTGCGTAAAGTTTACTGCTTATACAGCCGGGGCAGCCCTTAACGGGATCGGGTTTACGGCGACAGGAAACGCGTTTCGCTATAAAAATCCTCAATATCGCCCGACCGTAACGGCACGTTGTGTTTCGCGAATATTATTCGAAATCGCTAATAAACCGCGCGTCACAGCACATATTTTAATAGCAACGCACGAGAATATTTGCGCAATAGGGCTCTAAGCCAGAACAATGACGGTTATGGCTTTGTCTGGCTGCGCGATCAACTTGTTTCCGAGCAATATTAATATTAACGCGGCCCCGAATGAAGGTTCTTTGTTCGAAACATTTACGAAAAAATTCGGGACCAACGTATACAAAGCGCCCCGACGGTGGCGTGTGGCGTTAATTAACTGTATACGAACCGGTATCGTTGTTATTGTTGTACCTACCCCTCGCATCACTTCATCCCCGGGTATTGTTTACTAGCTTTACCTTCCGTTTGGTCATCGAATTCGCTACAAACGATCGACAATAGATTCAACATCAACCCAGTTCATCACCATGTTTACATTCTTGAAATTAAATTGAACTGTGACAAATTAATGCCAATTTGTATGACTCAATTAAATTATTATATGATTTGTTATCTAATTTCATATAGATTCTAATTCGATAGATAAGCTTTTTTAAGTTAAATTATATAGTTTGAAATAGCCTTGTTCCTCTTCCATCATTTTCTTCAATACCATTTTTTAACATCATGCAACATTATCTATTAATTGCCGGTGAATTTTCCGAGCATTTCTTGCTTGTTTATATGTTGTTGAATCACTTTCCAGATTCTGTCACTATCCGGGACATTTTCCAACCCAATCTGCCATGTCATTATTACTTTTTTTAACTCACCTCCATCATATATGAATATCTTCCATGATATCTATTTCCATCATCCCTGAACTGAACATTTTCTGACATATTTCTGAACAGATCAGATTTCTTAACATCGTTTCTAATAAATTCAGACATCATGCATAGGCTGCATCAAAGCTGATGCAGCCCACGAATGTAACTCAACTCAACCCAATCTGCCACATCATTACTGCTTTTCTTAACTGACCTTCATCATGCAGAGTGTTTCATAATATATACGCAGGACTTCAGGATGTGATAGCTTGTCCAGAAATTTGAAAAAAAGGTTTTGCACCATTTTCGAGATCCAGTGTGTTGAAATTTAATAAAAAAAAATCGTTTTCTACTCATAATAAGCTAAGTTTTGTGCGAGAAAAATTTTTTTAAAGTCATAATTGGTGAAGATTTTGAAGGGGTAGTGGTTGTTTTTCTCCCCAACTTCTACGCCACTGGAAAAAGTACGGTTTTGAGACGCTCATTTGAACCGTCAATGTTTTCTACACAAAAAAGGTACTGTAAGTCATGAGCTCTAAAGTTGACCGTTTTCTAGAATAATCAACTTTTATGTTGAAAAACATGGTCAATTTTTTGAAATAAAAATTTTATTTTACAATTAAACAAAATTTATGTAAACGTTAGAACAAGTAACAAAAGTAAGCGTTAATTTCATAATTACAAAATAAAAAAAATGAGAAAATGATACAAAAGTTATCTTTTCAAAATTCTTCAAACTGGTAGGTACTTCAAACACTTCAAAATGGAAGTTTTAAAACGAATACTGCTGATAATGGGCGGCCTATGGATGTTGCAAATCCCCAAGTAGAAGATGGTGTCCTCAACGAAATTGATGAAAATCCGACCACAAGTACCAGAAAAATTGCTCACAACTTATACCTATCTCACTCGACGGTTTGGAGAATTTTGAGAAGGCAACTTTTGTATCCCTACCATATGCAAAGAGTACAAGCCTTATAGCCAAGATTGGCTTTTTATATCCATGTATGCAAGACAAAATAGCTCAAAATCCTGAGTTTGGAGCCGAAGTTCTGTTTACCGATGAAGCATCTTCCTCGAAGGATGGTATTTTCAATTTTCACAATAATCACATATGGACAGAAGAAAATCCACATGAAATTGCAGAAGGCCATCATCAGCAACAATTTTCCGTAAATGTTTGGGCTGCCTTCGTCGGTGATCATTTGATAGGCTCACATTTTTACCGAACAGATTAAGTGGTGCAGATTATCGACAATTTCTAGAAGAAGTACTGCCGGAACTGCTGGAAGATGTACCACTTCAAGTAAGACAAAACATGTACTTTATGCATGATGGAGCTCCGGCCCACTTTAGTTTGGTTGCTCGAATACCTAACCGTTGGATCGGTCGAGGAAGTCCTGCGCATATATTATGAAACAACGTGTATATAAATATCTTCCATATTTTTCTAACATATTTCTGAACAGGTCAACTTTCTGAACCTCGTTTCTAATATTTTCTGACATCGTCAGTGGGCTGCATCAGCAGACATAATTCCAAACACTTTGCAACAGTTTCATAGTCTTCTTCTACATCTTCTCCATCATTTATCCACTGCTCATTGATATCCCTTCTCATATATATCTATATATCTAAACATCATCCCTAATATAATCCAAAATCGTCCCTTGCCATCAAAATGGTCCTTGAAATCTCTTAATAACTTTTAAGATCATTCAATCAATATCTTGGATATGCATAATTATACTGTCCAATATCGCTTAACATCATTCATCACATGTATATAATAGTAGTACATTATTTTAAGAAAATTTTTGGACAATTGAATATTTAGGCTTAATTAAGTCTCTCAATTAAACACATATGCCTCATTCGGCTAACACCGTTGATTTAAGCTCAATAGTAGCGTTTTAAAAGCTCAGTTCGAGAAGAAAATGTTGATTAGGGAGCTTAGGAACCGTCTTCGTTGCCTGCCATATTTTGTAGTGTATCATGTATATTGTCGGTTATGACATAATTCAAAAAGTCTTTCAGACTAGCTTGATAGACAGAGAAGCTGTGTAGACAACATTAGTTATCGATGCAAAAAAAGACGAATTTCGGCAAAATTAATACCTTTCTTGTAGATGAAAAAGAGCTTTGTGCGAAAGCTCCATTAGAAAGATCTTTGGTATCGTATTGATTCGATTATTGGTTTAATCAATGTTGTAAGGATTTCTGAAAAAATGAAGATTATCCATATGGTAGATTTTATTTGGAATACTTCTCTGATCAGGTTCTTGGATTTCGTGCGTAGTGAAATGGCTGATAAAAACTGTAGTTTATACTTGAGAAACCCAACCCAACCCAACCCAACCACATAACACATGATATTTAGCAGGGTTGAGTTCCTTTTCCTTTTCTTTTTGGTTTTTTTATCAGATAACTAAAGGATTCGATGGACATTCAAATTTCTATGCATGTCATTGGTGGGGATTTTTTTAGCACATTAACTGTATAAACAGAAAGGATTTCATACTGATCTAGGTGTCATGGTGTTGTACTAAATCCAGAGAGACCAATAACCGTTTGTCAATGACAGTGTTGTCCAGAAAATCCCCTTTTTCTGATACTGTCAGAAACATTGGTGTCATTTCGAATTCTGCTTTGATTTGATGTCCAATACTGTGGAGATTTGCAAAAGGACTGGAATAACATCTTCTGGTTTCAAAGCGACAATATTGATGTCATCTTTTTCGCTGTGATAACTAAACAACTTGTGATAAAATAATAATAAATAAAAATTTTATGTTAAACAAGTATAATTTGTTGTATCGTTAGGTTAGATATAATAATACCTTATAATTATAATTAAATAATTGACCATTATATGATACAATTTCCTGGTGTCGAAATATTTCCTGGAGAACACACCGGATGTCCGGTTTGTGCCATTAAAAGAGGGTGGAATCGATATCGAAACATAAACCTCGTAAATTCACGATTCGTGCTGCGCCTATAATAACGGTGAAGTAACTTGGAGGAAAGGGGTGGTTCGTCAGTTTTAAAGAGGGCTTTTTGCCAAAAGCACGCCAATTTTCCCGCGAGAGCCTTGAGTGCACTTTATATTTATGGTGCTAATCTGAACCGGCTTTAGTTGTACCGTACGGCCCCATGAATATGACCGAGGAGATAATTACGCCAAGCTGACCGCAAAAGTCCTAAAATGGCCGCCCCAAACGTTCCCCCTTACAATAATTACCAAAACCTCCCCCAAATTTCGATTCTCCCCTAAATGTTCCCGAACGATGTTTTTTCACCTTGTTTTTATTGGAACTTTTAAGAGTTTTCTTGAAGTGGAAGTACTTTTTTCTCCTGAAAGGGTGGAAATGGGAAAGAACATTTTCGCCGTGATTACCCAGCATACATACAATTTTGAAAGGTGAAATAAGTTGTCGAAATTCAAAAGATTTCGAAGTGTGCGAAAGTTCGCGGCCAATTATCGATTTTTCGACGACTTCCAGCGACATTTCCAACCCGAACGCAAGGAGGTAGCTGGAAGTTGTCGAAACGACGTGGTGCCGTGGAACGGGCGACTTGCATAAATTCCATATAACTTGTGTTCAGAGTTTGAATATGAAACTCGTGGGGACACGTGGACGAGGGCAAATAGGCTTCCCGTAGCAGCAAACTTTGACGATTATCGCGCCGGCGTATCTGCTAAAACGCGTGAGCCCCTGTAATTTCAGCGCGGTAGCTCCGTTACAAGGCGAAAATTAACTTATTGGCTGCAAACGCCATGTGCCACCACCACACTACTCTATCGATTTAACTATAAGGTCCTATAATTAGATCGAAGGCTACAGAAACACTTATTTACTAGTTTCTTTTCTAATTTACTTTCCATTTCTTTTCAATAATGGAGTTTTAAAAGCGAAATGTCATTTTGACATTTCCAATGTCTATTTGACGTTTAAAATATATTTTTTGACGTTTGAAAAAATTTTTTTGACGTTTATTGTAAGAAATAAAATTTGTTTATATTTTAATTTTAATAAAGATTTTAAAAGAATTATTAACGGGTCACGTAGAGTTCTTTCTTTTTAGGCTCGTGCGCGTAAATCTGATAGACAACCCACCAAGCAGACCTCTCCATAACCTCTACGAGATAACATTTTGACTAATCATCCAACGAGTGTTAGTTTTTGCTTGTCACGAGTAAGCAAAGTGTCTTTCACATCAATAAATCGTTGTTGGATCTGAAAAAAATCACCATGAATGAATCCGTGGGTACTGAAAATAATATGGAACCGCCAATACGCGAAGAACTGGTAAGTAAATATAACGCTATCATAGTCATAGCTGTGTTGTTATTATTATGTTATTACAAAACAGGTTCAAACTGCAATAAAGTTTCTTCAAAATCCGAACGTTTTAAACACTCCTTTAGAACAAAAACAAAAGTTTTTGCAGAAGAAAGGTTTGAGTCAAAAGGAAGTTCAATTGGCATGTGAAAGGTCAGGAGCTTATGATAATCAAAATAAACAACAAATGATGCAACAATCTGTTGTACCAATGCCCTATCCTCCACAACAACTAGCACCTTTAAGTACATTTGATAAAATAAAAGAAATTGTCCATAATATAGCTTTAGTAAGCATAGTTGCTTATGCTATTTATAAGTTCTATGAAAAATTCATCAAACCATTCCTATTTGGTGATAAAAAGAAAACTATTGAAGAAACAGTGGAAGATTTATCAAAACAAGTAAATTCATGTGTGATTGATCTTAAAGAGGGATTAGCAAGTGTTAAAACTGAAGTGGACAAAATCAATCAAATCTCAGAGAGCAATACTCAAAGACAACTCCAACAGCTTCAATCTGATGTTGCAACAGTAAAAGGTCTACTTTTATCCAGGTACTACTACATATGATATTAGTATTAAAAAAATAGTAAGTTAACGTTTTAAAATGGTCATGGAAAATTGAAATTGTTTCTTTTTTCTTTCAGGAAGCAATTTCCCTCAGTAGCTAATAGCCCTGTAGTACCGCCTTCCATTCCCGCTTGGCAATTGGGAAGCGTTTCAACTCAAGAGGAACAGGCCGATCAAGACCCCAAATCGGATGGATCTGAATTGATTGAACTCGGTTCAGGATCTACACCTTCGGAACCGGAACAGGAAACCAAAAATAGTGATAGTAGCTTAGAAATTATGTAAAAGGTTACCAAAAAATATCGACTGTAATTTATTTACCTTCCTTTTTTTACGTTTTATTTTAATATTAATTTACATGTATTTTAAAAATATATCGATTTAGGTATTTTAAGTTTTAGAAGGTTTATAATAAACAATAAGAATTGGGAATTTGAGTTTTTATTTGTAATAGTTTGTATTTTGTGTATATTGGGTTGTCTATCTACTGGTAAGTTAAAGAACAAAATCAAATAGCTTTTTTTATATTCAAATAGTAAGTAAAAATAATTACTTATGTGATAAAGTTTAACTTTTTCTTGCTAACGGGAATCCTTACTGAAAATCAGCTTTAATCAATAAGTTGCCTCAACTTTTCTTTTTTTAACATTTTATTAAAGCAATTGATCATTTTTTTCAAAAGAAGTTTATCTTTGCCGAAATTCGCAGTTTAAGTGGAAATTAATTTGATAGATTGGGGTTATGATGAAAAATGAAAAGTTAAGTTATAATTTCCACCCAGGATCCAGGCGCAAGTAATACATCCATGAAGTCGATGTATCGCTGTTCTACTTGACAAAGTTGATAAATCGCTTTTAAGATGTCCCTCCTCTTAGAAACGATGTGATCAATCTCTAAACGTAGTTCCAGTATGTTTTTATGGGACGAAATGCAAGTTGGTGCGGATTTGGATCAACAAAGTATTTATATGCAGATAATAATTTCCATAATGTAGATAAGGTGTAAAGAAATTTATATACCTTGGAAGACAGGTAAATGAAAATAATATAATGACTGAAGAAATTAGAAAACCAGTCTTCACGTATGCGTCAGAAATGAGTCTTGTTGGGTTGTTTTGAAAGAAAGATGCTCCGCCACATATACAGGGGTGTTCGGGAAAACGGAATATATAAAGGATGGATGACAGGTAACCAACAAAGCAAATGTTCCGCCAAACAATTTTTGGAACTCGCAAGAGAGGCAGACTTAGAAGCAGATATAAATACCAGGTGAAAGAAAGTCTAAAAATACTGGTAGTTAGAAAGTGCAAGGCCAAAGCACGAGATAAAATAGAGTGGAAGCTGATCCTAGAACAGGTCAAAACCCACCAGGGGTTGTGGTGCTAATGATGATGATGAAATGATGTAAAAATGTATGATAATTACACCGAAAATCGGAATATTTGATTTTGGTGTTTTATTTAAAGTAAATTGAAGAAACGAGAAATAAAATTGATATGGAAAGAGTAAAGTAACTGTCATATGAAACTACAAGTAGAATAGACAATGTGAAATTATAACTGAAAGTCACGAAGGTCGTAAAAATCATTGTGGAATCAATGAAAAGGTTTGCATACAACTACAACTGAAAGTACCTAGATCAACAGGTAACGAAGTTTATTTATGCCTGTGATGTGGCATAAACTCAGTGCGCAAAAATATGACAGAATACTTTTCTGCCAAGAAAATTATTAAAAAAAAAAACATAATTTCGTCCAGATAACTCCGAAGTGAAGGAGACATTAGTTTTGTCGAATATCCATAATTTAAAATAAAACAAACCATAAATTTCTCTTTTATGTATTACAAATGTGAACTAGAATATAAAGTTTTGTTTACAGCAATACGTAATACTTCAATGTTTGACGATTACGTAGTCATCGAACGAGCTACATAAACCGTTTAAACAGATCGGAATGAACGTCATCAGGGGACAAGGCACGTGGAAATGCGGTTCTGGAATTGAAATTGGCCATGGAATTTGTGCTGTTGCCTCGTCGTTCACGTGCAGAGTACCCGGAGGATATTAGCAAGGGGGTAATATGTCAAAGAGAAGTTCCAATTGTCCAAACATCGCGGAACTCGAGAACGGGAATTACGTTAGGAAAAAAAAACGACAAGAAGAAGAAAACAAAAGGAAGAGTTTTTCGCCGCCGGTCAAAATTGCGACCCACCCCTCATTCTCTTAGTTCTCCCAACCCCACCCGACCGGTGGATCTTTTCAATGGGACCAGGTTTCGAATATCCAGGATGTAACTGAAGAACTCCCAGCGAGTGTGCCGCCTTCAGCTTAATGATGTACAGCCGCCGGGACGTCGAGTGTTTTTCTCTAAACCCTACGAACGAAGGAGACGAGCATTGTGCTCTTCGCCTCTTAAAGTTCACCACTCCACGAACGACGACGACGTTATATTATATTTGAGAGAGAAAAAACTCGTAAGAAAAATGAAACGAGGAGACTTTAAAATTCAATCCGCACTTGGTAAATAATCGCGTCGAAACTGCGCCAGATTTCGAAATATAATAAACGTCAAATCTGAGTTAGGTTTTCCCTCGAAGAGTTTTAAAGTGACATTAATATTTATAAACCCTAATATGCCTCTTTCGTCGATTACCCCGATAACTTAGGTGGGAATTAAATGGATGCGAAAACTTTCATCTCAACTTCAATTTATGTAATATATTAGCAATACAAAACGATAATCTAATATTAAGAGGTATTTGCACGTCTGCATTAACATTCATGATAATAAATTTCAGTTCTATCGCGATTCATTCTAGAACGAAATTTTCAGGTATCACCAAAACCGGTCCCATTTTCGCTTGGCTCTTTGTGCCAGAGAACATCCGCGTTCAGGCAATATCACATTTAACGCGATAAAGTAATTTTAAGGCGCGACGCAAGTGCCAGGCCGTTTTCACTGAAACGGATTCCGACATTCGCGAACGCAAAATTACATGCGAAACCCAACCCAACCGTCTCGAGACGAATACAGGAAAAATGCCCCCGTAACGTCACGTTGCATTTTTAAACCACGACTTTTCACAACGAGAGAGGAATACTTTTCTCGTTCAAGAAGAAAATTTCGTACACAATTTTTGTTAGATTGTAACAATACATGTTGCTACAAAGAAAATCTTTTTTACATCATGTCATTAAAAGTAGTTATCAAAACATTTCTGCTCGTTACTCTGATGACGGAAAGAAATTTTGGAACTTTTGTAAACTTAATTGGAAGTATTTCCCTGGATACAGCAAAATTTGAATGAATAAGTACATCTTGTAAAGGATGTAGTAGTTAATTTGTCGGTCCACGAAACTGATGTCAGATTGGGAAGAATCGAGCTATCAGCGATCGCAGAATATTACCATACGGAACGCAATAGAGTATGCAGTGTTGTTATTTATTTTGAAGAGTAAATTTCCTGGATATATACCCGGGGATTTACCCAAGATGGGTATTTATAAAATTTAATTTAAATTGAGTTGATGGCAGTTTTGCAAGCACTTCAAGAATGCAGAGTCGATTATCGATATACCAAACTTATTTATAACATCTACAAGAACGCTACAATGACGGTAAAGTTGCATGAAAGTACTGAAGAGAGTAGAAGTAGTAAACTATTGATTGTGAGTAAAACGAGGCGATACACTATTGAACCCAAATTGTTCATGATAGTCCTCAGAGTGCATTTAAACAACTGGATTGGACCCAAAAAGGCATAAACATTGATTGCAAATGTTTAATATGATATAGTTCTTATATCGGATAGCCTTGGAGTGATTAAACTAATGCTGAACGACTTAAAGGAGGTGTGTGCAAGAGTCGGGCTAAATATCAACGAGGAGAAATCAAAATTTATGATCAATCTTGTTCCCAACTCTAACATCAACATTGGGGATAATGAGATTGAGAGGGTTGACAGCTATGTATATCTTGGCTATGAGGTTCGTGTATCGAGAGATAATCAAACAAGCGAACTAAACAGAAGGATCACACTCGTATGGGCAACCTACGGGAAACTTAGAGATATTTTCAAGAGAAAAGGCTTTCAATCAATGCGTGTTTCCGGTAATGACATAAGGCTCCGAAACATTAACATTAACGGTAGCCACTGCCAGGTGAGTCCAAGTAACGCAAAGATAGATGGAGAGGTCGATGCTGGGTCTACCTCTGAGGGACCACATACGAAACGAAGACCTATGAAGAAGATCTGGCGTAAATGATGTGGTCAACATTGTAAAAAAGCTTAAGTGGAACTGGGCGGGTCATGTCGCGCGAATGAAGAATGAGCAGAGGACAAAACAGTTGCTTAAGTGGAGACCGCGAGCAAACAGACTAAGTAGACGTCAAAAGAATGACTAACAATTGGATTCAGACAGCACAGAATAGAATCGAATGGAACAGAACAGGGGAGGTCTATCTCCAACAATGGACGCAGAGGGCTGCTTCATGATAATAATCATAATAACTTCATCTAATCTAAATTACGATTCTAGTCTAATGATAATACGTCTTTGATTATTGACAATTCCTCGTCGTCAACGTCTTCATCATCTTCCTCTTAATTTTTTTTTGAATCTGATATAACAACATCAAAAACAACATCAATAGCGAGGGTGATATGGAGGTCAACTATACCTAGAAGATACCATTGAAATATTGAAACCATTGAATATTTCAAGTTTTTCATCATACTTTAGCAACTAACTGATTGTAGTATTTGGTAATTCCTCAAAGACTATATTAACAGCTATTGCAGTTCCAAGTTTTGCAAATGCTCATACATTATTGGAACTATCGACCCATAGCATCATCCTCTAATTAATATATTATGAGTTAATTATTGTAATGGTTAACTATTTCCACCCTAAATAACTGATAATGATTGTTGATACAAAATTGTAAGAAAATTTGAAGTTTGAAAAGAGAAGGCTTTAACGTAATTTTCCCTAGTGGCCCCGTTCGGGTTTCGCTTAATCGCTAATCGATGTCAGTCATAAATTCCGGGGGCCGCGGCCTCGATCAATTCTTTACACACGTAACCTCCTCCTCAAGGTTAAAGGGAAATGCACCCGCCTCGTCGTCATCGTCGGAACAAGTTCTAGGCCATTGCAATTGCCGTCGTCGTTGTCGTCTGTCCGCAGCTGGTCTTCAGCACATGTTCACGGCGGGGGCTAGCGGCGTTGCGGTGGCCCCCCTGTTTACGCTACCGCCTCAGCCGCCGTCATCGATCTGATCCACCCCGGATCTCCTCCCCGCCCCTTTTCCACCTTGAGTTTCACCTCTTCGGACGACCTATCCTCTTTCGGTAAATCGTTTACGCAATAAAACGAAAAAAAAAATTAGCTGTAGCATGTTTATAGTAGCTACATTTATATGTGCATATATTTAGTTAGTTAAATAATCGTTAGTTCATTTAGTGTGCCATTTGAATAAATACGATGGTTAGGTAGTTAAAACAACACAGTTTGCGTTACATTATCCGGTTCTATCGCCGTTTTGACTCGTAATTACAAGACGTAAGGGGATTTCGGAGCTAAATTACCTTCCTTGTACAAACAGAAGCGTTGGATACACGTTTAGACCAAAATGGGTACCATCCCTCACGTTCGGCAAAATTCGCCACCACCTCTATTTACATACGTACGGTTGTGCCACCTGTGCGACATTCGGCACGTATCCACGTGCCGCAGCACGTGTTTATATTGAACATGGGAATAATAAAAAAGGTGTGGTATTTGCAAAGTAAGCTCACAAAATGAGTTACAAGGTGAAATAAAGGAAATAAGAGATAATTAAAAGAAGAAAACGATCTAGTTAGCCATTTCTCACTTAAAATCAATTTTTAATTAACACTAAATCACCGGTAGGAAGAAGTCCGTTCAAATCTCGGCCCATTACGTTCGAGCTCAGAGTACTAAGTTCGCTGATCAATCCGCAAGAGAAAGAGAGGTTGTGAACGATCGTGTTGGAAAGGGATGGACGTCAAGGTCAGTACAGAAGGGTAGACGATGGTGGTGGAGGTGGTGGCGGGCGTCGCGACGCCGGCAAAGTATATTAATCGTATATCGTGCACGGCACCTTTTCTCTCTGCCCGGTACGGGACTGTCCCGCGTAAATGATGTCCTTCCCGTTTCCTTTCGCTAACGAACTGTTTTGATATGCTGGGACGATAGCGTGCACGATCGTCCGGGACTTCGCCCCGCGATCGTAAGTCTTTCACGACTACTAGAACTGGGCCACGTACCACTTCTTGTTTTATTAGATTTATTAGAATAAATTTGAATGCGAGGTATCTGTTACATAACTCACTATGTCCAAGTTTTGTTCATATCAGATTTTATACTATAGAAATTTTTTAAACATCTTCTCTTCTGACTTACTACATATACAGTGTGTATCAAAATTATACAGTTAGACTTCAAACAATCATTTTCGTAAGTTATTGTTTTAAAAGAGGCAAAAGTAAAAAAGCGGCGGGTGAATGTCGAGAAGTTTGCTAACACCTTGAGAATTGTGGTATAAAGGCATCTGAAAGAGTCGGCAGACGTCGTAACAATACTCATGATGTTGACATTGTTGTTGCTATGATGTTATCAGGACAAGAAGGATTACTGCTCTGCTTCTTGTACCACAAAAGAGTATGGAGGGCTCTCCATATTGAAGTCGTTTACACATATCCTGGAAGACTTTGAATTTTGCTGACTTTTGTAATTGACAATCAACACACAAAGGAAATTATTCAGATATTGTAATTACATTAACAAAGTAGGAGGGACAAAGTATGACTGTGAAGTGCGCTGTAAAGGAGCTATTGATGGTGATAAATGAGCTGGGTTTCGAGATGTCATAGAAACAACTAAGTATTCTGGAATACAAATAGTTAAATCAAGAGTTATTGTGTTAAAATACCTTGAATTTACGGTATGCAAAGACCTTGAGAAGACCACATACAATATAATAATAATAATAATGCTTTTATTAATACGTCGCAAAAAAGAAAGAAAATAAGAATACATTCTTAGAAAATAGACTTATTTTCTGGACAAGGTTCAGTTTGGTTATTAACAAACTGCTCTTCCACTTAATCCAGAATATATAGAAAATATATACAGGTGTCCCGAAACTCAACATCAAGCGGGCACTGGGTGAGAGGCCAACCCATACCTGCTCTGATAAAAATAAGACAAAAATTCCATGTCTCTTACAATTAGTTAAGTGGTAATAGACATATTTTTGAAAATGTTACAAATGTGCCAAATCTTTAGATACTAGGGTCAGAAATGTTCGCAATTTAATAGTATTTTTTTTAATAATGTATTCCTTATTAACCATGCTACTATAGAAGTCACAAATCAAACAACAAAAGTCGTTAGCTTTGCAGAAAAGCATATTAGTTTAATTGAGTTAAGGTTGAAAAAATTTATGTCTATTATGTTTGACACAAGATTACTAAAAAAAAGACTAGTACAACACCCTTGGCAAGTTATTTTAAAAGATTGCCTGTTTAGTCAAGTTTCCAAAATGGTACAACACTTGCCATTTTTCTTTTTCTAAAAAATATTATTGCCTGTTTTTCTGCAAAAAGCGCGTTATTTAAAAAATTCTTACATTCGTATGTTTTTTTGTATTTCATCCAAAATAATTTACCAACGTTGTTAGAAGATGTGCCACTCAATATCTAGAGAGAAATGCGATTTCAACAAGATGGTTGCCCAGCCATTATGCTTGTCCTGTACGGGATTGAATACAGAGTATCCCGAAAGATGGATTGGGCGTCTTGGTTCGATTATGTGGCTTCCTCATTCTCTGGGCCTAAATCCCTTTGATCTTTTATTAGGATTGCATAAAAGAAACAATGTATTAAAATCCGATTGAAAATCTTGCCGAACTGCGCCACAATATTTATACAGCAACAGAAGAAATAAATGCAAGCAAAGAGACTTGTACAACTAGTAAAAAGATCTTTTTGCGCGCGATGCAATAAAATTAATAATTCCTTTTGTTTAATTTTGTCTTTAGGAACGATTTTTAACATTTTCAAAAATATGTCTACTCGATCAAAGAAGACTACTTAGGATTTCATCCATTACAAACTAAACGCACTATCTAATTTTTGATTGGACATGGACAAACTCGTGGTTTTTGAGTTTGCTGGATGTAAAATAATGAATGCAAAAAAATCGGTTATGCCATACAGACTTAAAATGAGACAATGTTCTTCGACACACAATCACACAAACTGAATTTAGTCATTAATGCTCAGTTTAGAAAATTCATTACGAAACTTGCAAAAAAAATATAAGGTCTTTGAAGATCTTGTTATGAATGCAAAGTAAGCGCTTCGTCAAGGTGTTAGCATAAATTTTCTTGATGTTGAGAAGCACGCAGGAAGCAGATAGATATATAACGCTTTAGTTTGCAACGGTGCATCAAGAAATTAGCAAGGCAAGGTAAGCAACTAACAACCGATTAAACCCTTTATGATGTTTCCAAAGAAATTGATTTTTTCTGCCAGATGAAGCAATAACTATTTTTATAATCTTTTGATAAAGTTTCGTCAAGCACTTTTTCCATTGAAAGTAGTTTTGGCACATTGAGGAAAATGAAGACAAAGTCAAGTCTACAATTATGTACTGCCCAGCGAATGAGTGGAATAACAGAATTTTCCGATAAATCAACAAATTATGGTGTCCTTTTCTCTACTTAACTTCTAATTTCAGAGCTTTTGGGTCAAATATTGATTTTTAACATTTTTTGTTAATTTCCAAGAATTTTCCTATGATTAAATATTTTATCTTTATATTTTGCCAATATGAGGGAAAATAAAAGAATATGGAGTGATGATATATATATATTTTTTTTGTTTGGCAATTTTTATTAGGTGAGTACCATAAAACACAAAACCCCAACCGTCGCTTTGAGTCGAACAATGGACTTTATATGTTGAATTTTAATGCCTCGCATTTCCATTTTGAAATTCGCATGAAAGCAGCAGGCTCCCGTTCTGGCGAATCCAATAAACTGCCGCTCTCATGGATGCATAGGATGTTCGAAAATAAAAATGGTGAAATTAAATTTTCTTTCAAAAATCTCTATTTCACCAAAAAAAGAAAAAATCATCAATCGATTACGTTGCGCTAGTAATAATTGGCCCCTATACGGTTGATTGCGGTAATTATAAGAGAGCAAACTACGGATCGATTTAAGCTGACCTTTTTGCCGGTCGTATTTTTGAGGGCGGCCAAAAGCGTTTATTTCCTTCCAGGGATAAGACGAGGATGCTTTCAACGTTTTAGATCGTAGATACCGCTCACGTCGAACGAAGCTTTAAAACGGGTGCTTCAAGTCCGCCGCGCGAAGATGAGATAGGACACGAAACCCCGTCTGAGGTTTAAGGGTACGACGCGAAAGGGAGCGTTAAAAGTCCCCAAAAAGCCGGTTTACTTTTCGCGTTTACGGCGAGGTTAATTTTAATAAAGGGGACCGCGAATGACTCCAAGATCGTTCGTAATTGCATCTTCGGTAAATAAATCGTCGAATAACGGCGGCGAGGACAATCGATGGAAGAGAAACTTGAAATTATTTAATACCCAAGAGGTGAGGTTTGACTCGAGATTCATCAATCTTCGGGGAGGAAATTTTAGTCCGCGACCGTAAAAATATGTCATATTTCATGGCTCATTAAGTCTGAAACGACTTCAGAGTTGTTCCTTCCTGTAAAATATTTTATGGAACGTAGGTCGCTTTTCCCCCAACTTTTTGAGGGTAATGATATACAAAAACGGTCTAGTACTTTTCCTATTTCTTTCTATTTAAAATATATATTTTAGATCTATATACAGGGTGATTCACATAACAACCGACACAGAGCAGGGACATGTAGAGGACAATAAATTAAGATGATTTAACGCAATTTATCTCTATACTAAATTGTACCCCTGAGGAGTTATAGGCCTTCAAAGTTGGGTCTTAAATTTTTAAATCATTGAATATCTTCGTAATACATTAAGCTAGAAAAACCAAATTTGGTATACGTTATGAGTGTACTGAAGGTATTAATTGGTAGCAAATTGAGACCAATTATGGCATTTCAAAGGATTGATTAAGGGTGATGGTCTCCTAAATTTTGACAGATTTTTTTAACCTTTTAGTGGATTTAACACATTATTGCCTCATTTCATGTGGAATTTAATTCTAAAACTTTTTTTACTCTTATTATTTTTTAAAAAACATTGTCGTTTTCATAAAACACTCAAATAACTAAAGACACGTATTTTGTTAATGCTACTTAACATCATCGAAAATTCAGTAGTCGGCTGTGAAATTGTACGTCAAACTTGACAAATAGGTTATAAAACCTTGTTGTCAAATAATTTTATAACCTATTTGTCAAGTTTGACGTACAATTTCATAGCCGACTACTGAATTTTCGCTTATTTTAAGTAACATTACGAAATAAGTGTCTTTAGTTATTTAAGTTTTTTATGAAAACGACAAAGTTTTTTAAAAAATATTAAGAGTAAAAAAAGTTTTAGAATTAAATTCCACATGAAATGAAGTAGTAATGTATAAAATCCGTCAACAGGTTAAAAAGATCTGTCAAAATTTAAGATACCATCACCCTTAATCAACACTTTGAAATGCCTCAATTGAGTTCAATTTGCTACCAATTAATACTCTTGGTACACTCATAACGTATACCAACTTTGGTTTTTCTAGCTTAATTTATTACGAAGATATTGAACTTTTTAAAAATTTAAGAGCCAAGTTTGAAGTCATAACTTGAAGTTATAACTCCTTAGGTGTACAACTTAGTATAGAGGTAAGTTACTTTAAATCATCTTAATTTATTGTCCTCTACATGTCCCTGCTCTGTGTCGGTTCTTATGTGAATCACCCTGTATAATAAAACCTTGGTATAATATTGGATTAATACGGCGAAGAGAATGTCCGTTATAGCCAATAGTCCATTATATGAATAATTTTA